ACCCAACTACAGCCTCGGGGCGCTTGGATGAACCACGATAAACACACAGTATCCTGGGATTAACACGTTGCCCGCATTGTCTTCGGTCATTCCGCTTCCCTGGTATGCGCACAAATCTACACACGCGCGCATACTCATTTACTGACAGGCATAAACATGTAACGCCAACAGAATGGCTGCTGACGAGGATCGTTAATTACAATTCCGCATTCATCTGAGGTTTAATCATCTGTAACATCATATAAGTTAACATTAAAGCTTAATAAAAGCTTAATAAAAGTACGTAAATAATAACTTAATTTTATTTGTGGCCAAATAGCTCGCACATTTGGATGGTCGTGAGAAATAGAAGTGAAAAATTGTTTTACGATCCTATCTCGTTCGCTCTTTAATTCTCACACGAGTCGATGCGATTATCCGAACATAAAATATGGCGAGGAAGTTTTGCCCGAAACTTTATTTTTAAATATCCACTTTACTGCATATCTAACGAGGTCTCTCGAATCAGAAGGGCGCAATTAGCATTGCTTTAGATTTCCACTCCGATTCGCCTTTGCTACGAAGTCGGACTGGTTTCTGATCTTATAACGATAATTGGGTAATGAGTTGGCAAACTAAGTAGACATACCTCCGGGCCAAAGTCTCAGGCTACGTCAGGGGAGTGAGGTGGAATCAAACCTCGGAGTTTAGGTACGATTTGCTAGTATGCACTACCGATCCTACTCAAGAATCACCGACTGGACTCTCTTCCTTTCCTTTCCCTCTCTCTACTTCCCCCTTTCTCTCTCCCCCCTCTTGTTCCTCTCTCTCTCTCTCTCTCTCTCTCTCTCTCTCTCACAGCTGTTTCCGTTTGCGCTAGTTAGAGAAGCGGTACGTTCGCTTACGAAAGCAAACTTCCATCGGAGCTTCTGCAGACTTGCACGCCGTGACGGGTTTCTGAGGAGGGACGAAGCGGGATGGAATACGAAGCGGCGAGGAAGGCGCAAAGAGAGATTGACTGTGGAAATTTCAAACGCAGCTAGGATAGGAGAGCGAGAAGGTCTCGCCTCGTATTCCCCAGCGAACTTTAAATATTTGAGACGCCGTATATTTCCGACGTTTTATATAACGTCCATAAAACATGCAAACGCACTGAGTAAATTACGAAGTACGCCAAGAACAAATGCTAGGATACGTCACGCAAGCAATGTGCTCGCAAGAAGGAATTATAACAAAAGTAACATAAAAACCTACAATTTTTTGCAACTGGAAACTGCAGTACTTGAAGTAGATTAATAATTATTCGTTTCTTTTCAGTTTTTTATTAGTTAAAAAACCTGAATGACTTTTTCACTACAATTACAGCGCAAATTGACTGTATTAATTTCTCAAAATTAGCTAAGTTGGAGTCATAAATTAAAAAAAAATTAAATCTGTGATTCTTAAGTGCCTAAATATATACACAATGAAGAATTCAACAATATATAATATATAAATCTCTATATTTGTTCTAATTTTAAGAAATAATACTACCTTTATATAAATAATGCTCGATCCCTTTCAGTATAAAAGTGCTCCGATTTTTTCTAATCGAATGAATTATGTATATTATAAATATTGCACTAAAAAATATATTATTTTATTAATTATAATTTTTTATAATTATCAAAAGTGAACTAACTTAACTTAAAAAGTTGTTAAAATTTTCATAACTCAAGAAAGTGATTTTTCTATTAGAAAACAAAAATGATATTTGATCATAAAATGATCAAATGTCATTTTTGTTTTCTAATCATGTTAATGATGTGATCATGTTGTAAGAATATATTCATATTGTCGATATTATTTGATTAATTATTCAATAATTTTCTATCAAGTTGGAAAATAATTTTTTTTTCTTTTCTGGGAAACTTAACTTTTTTATGTTGTATTATCACTTTCAAAGTAAAGAAGCGATATCACTTCTTTTTTAAATATGAAACATATTCTCTCTTCCTTTTCCTTTGTTAATCTTTCCTATAAATATTAAATAATTTTAATAAAATTATAATTTGACTTTGTATAATAATATAATCTTATAACTGATTACTTAGCAGTGATAAGTGATCGAATTTAAAGATATCTAGCGTGGGTCATACACCTGTCAAATATATTAATTTACATTGTAAAAATGTTTAAGTATCGCACGATCTTTAAAGGCATTCCCTACCCTAGTTATATATCTTACTCTCAAAGGTGAAATCGCCGATAATCGAGATCCAAAGAGCGTTATAGTTGGCTTTAATGTTGGGTATTCAGAGGTGGTACAGTGTGCTCCGACACTTGACTTGGGCTGGTTCCAAGGTCTCTGCCGCCTCTCCGTACATACGTATATCACCCACACATACATACGAATTCATACACGTACTGGACATTCGGGACGATAACCACCCGTGTGCCTCAGGTCCCACCTTGACGTGTTCATGCACCGGTCCTGTCGTAAACTCCTGGAGTGCTCCCGCTGCTTCCTTGGCTCTATCGTCCTTCCTCTCGACCACCCCTATTTGTTACCCCCTTCGTAAAACCTCGAAGTGGAAGATTGGTCGAACCACCCGCTAACCTTTCGACGTTTCGCTCTTACTCTCGCGACTCTTATTTCTCGACTTTCCTTCTTTTTTTCTTCTTCATCTTCTTTCTTATTGTTAGTAGCGCTCCATGTGCTTCATTGAACTCGATGTACCAAAAGATATAACCTTTATAATCGGCGATCGCTTATCCTTCGGGAATAATAAGATGAAAAAAGCGGTTCTGCATCTCAGTGAAGAAGTTTCTGTCTCGAATGACGGTTACGTCGTTTCAAGCACAAATTATATAAACACGAAGTCATAACAATTAACATTGTTGACTGTCAGCTAATTTCGACATTGAGCTTAGTAAATCTAGTGTTTTTGGTAAATCTATTGTTTTAATATTTACTTCATTTTATGTTAGTATTACACTTTATATTTATTTTATGTTTTAATATTATTTATATTGTTTCTTTAATATCTCAAATAAATTTAATAAGTTATTAATAATAACTTTTAATCGGATAAATAAAATCGTCATCAACAAATACGTAATGGGATCCTTGCAAATTTTATGCGTCACTCAAATATAAGTGATACAACAATCAAAATATTAAAGGATTCGATACAAATATTTAAAATATAGATTTTTTAAAATACGATGACAAAAATAGGATATCTTAATTTTCTTGTTGTTAAATTTTAAGTATGCCATTAAATTTAAAAGTTACGAAATTATTGAATAATCATTGGAAAAGCAATTGCCTTATATTTTTTTAAACATGTTTTGAGACGGAAGAAGGTAGAATTAGATTCGTGTTGTATTTACCGAAGGCTCGAGGAATGTACGCAGTATATTCATTATTTTTTCCATAGTTTTACAATTGGGTGGGTGGTCTGATATGCTCGCGTACGTGTCCATTCGCGACGCGTATTTGCCTGGCTTTAAGATACTTCCATCGGTCCAATTTTTCGCAAGAATGTGACACGTAGCAATCTTGGTAACCTCGAGGCTATGCCGCGCAATTTATTGGCCACCGAGTGCAGCTTCGACAATTTATCTTCTCCCTCCGCTCCTCTTTTCTTCCTCGCGATCACGCGCTATCTCTTTCTCTTTCTTTTGTACCTTTCTCTTTTTCTCTCCCTTTTCCTCTGACTTTTTCTCTCTTTCTTTTGTCCTTTGCATTCTTTTTTTGTACCTTTCTTCTCTTTCCGTCTCACTCTCTTTTTCTATCTCGACCATCGCTTACGATCGAGTTGAATCAACGTTGGAACGCTACCTCTGCTGTACCTGAACTTCGATATCTCAAACTTTCTGCCTCGATATTTTGCAGTATCGACAGTTATCGGGCTATAAACTCACGATCTTGTGTGAATAATTTAAAACGTAATATTTTGTAGAATTCGTTTTACCTAATTTGTTGTTTTAGTAATGAAATGATGCGAGATCAATCGTATCGTTCGATTTTTACAGTACATTACGTCTGACAAATAATCGTCTAATTTTATTAATATGTCGCGTGGCAATCACATTAATACCGTTAGAAATTTGTTCCTACAGAATGTAAAATAGCTTTTTTTGTTAAGAAAATGTATTTCTGCGAGGCAATAAATAATCTTTTACAATTACATTATAATTAGACAATAATATAATTTCAAACAAGAATAAGTATTTTAATACATTTAACAAATATATTCTATGGCCAAGTGTCAAAATAATAACGAATTCTGTATAAAAAAGAGAATTTTTGTCTTTCAAAAATGATTTGAAAAAATCCTCTTTAAATACAGAGAAGAATACGTGAATGATTCTCAATTATATTTATCGATGATTATCGATGATATGATCGAGAATTGTTTTTAGAATTAAAAAATTCTTAAAACTCTCAATTTTAAATTGTTCTTGACCGGAAAATAGATAACGAACGAGCGGGCAGAGTCGGAAGATTTTAGGTTGCGCTGAAAGGCACGTTGCGTAGCAAAAAGGAAAGAAAATCGAGATCTGCAGGTGTAACGCCTGCAGCGACCGGGCGATAAAATGCACGCAGGCCCTCGATGCAGGGAGGACGAAGAAACCGTTCGCGATCCCTCGGGCTCGATAAAAAATGCAGTGATCACATTTCGGCAGAGACTTCGGAATCTTCAAACTATCTCACCTTCTTTGATTCTCACCTCTTCGTACCTCCAGTCGTCTTCCTTTCTCGATCGGCGATACTGCTCGCCATCCCTCGCAGCACTTGTTGTACGTATCGCTTTTAATATTTTTTTGCGATGCTTTGATGTAATCGTTCTCCCCGAAAAATTACCTTCGCTTGAGTGGATCAGCCTTGCGATTCGAGTCAATGAACTTGCCGACAATATATATAATTTCGCGCGATTTCAAACAACTGCAGACGCTCGGTCATTTGAAAAATAATTCTGTTTATTTTTCGAGATTTTGATTAGCGTAACATAGTCAATGCTTTTTTTTTGCAGTTGCTGATAATTGTGAGACCTAATCGGCTTAATTTCGTCGAATTAATTATTTCCAAGAAACACTAAAAAAGCCTACTAATTGTAACGATTTGGAACAAAAGTTGCATACTTATTCGCCGCCGTGCTCAAATTACGTTTAACAGGTGGTTTGCAAGTAAGTATCATGAGATGCTGTGGCTGTGACTCATACTTGTAATTTCTGATGTACGGCATCAACATTCTCTTTAAATTGGTCTTCGTGATCGATATTGGCGTTAAATTGCTCAATGATGCGTTGAAATTGGAACATAAAAGATCAATCAATTTAGAAATTAATTGCATTTTTCAAACAATTATATTTTAAATCTTTCTTTAAATAAAAAATTTCAGTCTAAAAAGAGTATTGAATATTGAACATTCAAAATTCTAAAAATTATAATTAAATTCCATTACATTGTATATACAATATACATACGAATGTATAAAACTTGTACGTTATACTGGTTTTCGTATAATTGCTGATTGCCGTTATATTAGTAAGCACTGTCACATAAATATTAATTAGTAATACATTTGACAAAATGAATCTTTCACATTCTCTTCATAGCTCTGCCAATACGAGCGCAATCCAGTCCGAGACTCCAGGCGGCTGGTCAAGCTGCGGCAAGTGTCTAGACGACATGAGGCTCATGCAAAGATTAGCGATCAGCGGACTGCTGTCCGTGATCCTGATCCTTCTTCTAACCGGAACATTTATAACACGACGCGATCTCGCGAATGTCGTCGATCGAGGCGTCGCGCCGGAAGAACGCAACGAACAGTTGAATCCGGCCTGGATACAAGATAATATGGTTCCAGGACAGGATGAGCCTGAAATCGAAGATAAAGATAAAGATAAAGATCGACATGTAGATATCAGACATAAACAATTCGAGCCTTCGGTGGTCGAAACGCCAGCTGTATCTATTCCTGGCATTTACGTTATTAGATCGCCTAATCCACCTTTGGATGATGTAACCAATCAGCGCCGAGAAAAAGTTAAAGAGGTAAGAGCGTACTTGATTTTTGTTTTGCATGCTAGTGTTAAAAAAGAGTAAAAGAACATGGAAAGGATTATATTCGAAGAGGTAAGTTTCATAATCAAGTTATTATTAGTTTTATATTAAATATATATTTATCTTTTATTATCATGATTATTTTTTCGTGTATATACACGTACATTTTTTTATACGTTATAACATTTAACAATGATTCAATTTTTTATGTTTTATTTTGATAAATGTATTTAAAATAAAATATCCATTTTCTGCTTTTGAAACGTATATTCAGATCTACATTTTTTGAAAACTCATTTTATTCACGGTAGTTTTTACCGCTGCCACATCGTTTGTCACTGCTGCATCACAGAAACGGCGGAAATTAAAGAGATTCGTAAAAGAAAACCGATGAGCTCTTTGTTCGTTCTGTCACATCAATATTCGTGTTTAGATTAGTAGGTCACAAGTAGAAAAAATAAAGGAGAACCATTCAAGATGATAAGTAAAGATGAATAAAACGATATTTTTTTTAATAATACGTAATTTTACATAAGATCTAATTCGACTCATGATTGATGGAGTATTCGAATAAATTGCTTTAAAATTCATATGCGGAAAGAACGGTACTGATATATCTAAAAATTTAGATGGATGCAGATCTGAAAATAGGTTTTTTTAGATTATCAAAATAATTATGTAGGCTCAAAGTGGTTGCTAGAGTGTCAAATCTTTTTACAGCATTGCTTATCATGCTTGAGCTTCTTATATAATTATTTTAATGATCTAACAAAATTATTTTCAGATATCTGTATCTAGCTAAATTTTTAGATATTTTAACAAAATAATTTTGTTAAATTAAACCAAATCAACATTGTAATTAAGTATTAATATTATTTTTGGCTAAAATATTTACTTTAAATTTGATTAAAGAATAGACAGTAATAAGTAAGAAACAAAGACCGACCTTTTGAATAAATCAACTAACAATAAATAAGAAGAAGTGCCAACTATGGTCATAGTTAGATGGAATAATAATTTTACATATAATTTAATTTAATTATACATTTATTTCGGATATATATAATTACTTTCGGACGTCAATACAAAAAACTGAAATAATATTTCCGACTGAGAAATATCTTTAATATTTTTCGCAAGTTTAGTTCTTTAAATTGATTAAATTTTATTTGTAAGATCACTATCATTATTCAGTTTGATTGTGTTGTAAATCCAAAAGGCGCGCAATAGTGTGTATATATGTGTATGTGTGTAAGCGCGTGTGCGCGCACACAGTGTATGCTGAAGTAAATATATTTAAAATAAATTACATATATAGAATTATTATTCTAATGTCTAACTTTGACCTTAATTAGCGCTACTTCTTACTCAATTGATTTAAAAAATAGAGTTTTAAAAGCCTTCTAAAAGTTGTACAAAATTGTATTTTTATAAGAGTATAATATTTACAAAAAATAAAATTAACTTCATAAATTTCATGAAATAGAAATACAAATAGGTAGAAAAGCATATATATGTTTGCTATGCAAGATTTCAATCCTTAGTAGCAAGATTAATCAATCGCGACATATACTGAGTTTGTCCGGAAATGGACAAATGGAACTCAATCAATTAACTCTCGAGCAACCGACAGTTGCTAAAAAAAAAAAAAGAAAAATGTGAATGACAGATAACTGTCCAGTAAAGTGTCAAACTGGATTGACCGGCGCACGAATGTGTCATGTTCCATGACATACCTATGACTAAGTTGATCCAATGCAACCCTCTCAATTTAAAGTTTAATCGATTCTTGTCTTTCGTAGTAACATATGACGAGCAGGTGCTCGTCGAAGAGTAGATCCGATCATACTTCGATGGGCAGGTTAATTAATTCGATTGTATTCAGCATCATAAAATTGACATTCCATCTTTTTATCTGAAAACGAACGAGAAAACTGTTATATAATACTTGACATATTAGTATTTTATTCATTTGATATATTTTTAACAGTAATACTTCACCAATATTTCGTCAATATTTTTTATTATTTTGTAAAATATAAAACTACAGAGGCTAAATGTAAAAATTAAATATTTTCTCTTGCTAATCTATTTTCAATCAGCGACACCATTTTTGCTTGAAAAAAAAAAAAAGATAATGTAACGTAGTTCTATTATTAAAACTATAGTTAATTAATAATACTATAATACTATGATTTTAGAACAAAATTAATTAATTGTAATATCAATAATATATATTAGCACATTTTATGACATTAAATAATTTTATTAAAAATTAGATATTAATCGTAAAAAAATAATACAATTATTTAATCAATAATTTTTCTTGCTATGCAGTTGTAAAAATATCCCTATGTAATAAAATAGGTCATATTTTGATAACAATTGATTGTAAGTTAGTCGGATTATTGTGCGGAGGCAATCATTCGACACAAAGAGATTTACTGGTGAATTGATATAATTCGTCAAACAAAGTATAAAATTTTAATTAAGCGTTTGCAATTAATCTTATGATATGTTTAATTGTGTTTTCACATGAAAATTGTTTTTTGCTTTGCAAAACAACGTAAATAAAAATCAATAACGTTAAAAAATTGATATGAGATAATTATATACAATTATACACAATTTATAAACGAAATCTTTTTTTATAATATTATTTTACATAATGACATAACATTCATATATATAAATTTAATTGTTAACTTTAAACATATTTATAGCGAGAATATTTTTAGTTAACACTTATTTATATTTAATTATACATATAATACAAAGAGCACTCGGAAATATGATAATACGGCATATTATTGTTCAAGTTTTAAATTTTTAAATTAAATCATTATTATAAAAATATTTCCGTGCAAATTTCATTTAAACTTCAAATTTTATAAATTACATTTCATCTTTTTTCCGTATGCTTACTAAAATAAAACTAAAAATTTGAAATAAAACAAGAAAACTAATTGATGTATTAATAAATGTCGACACATCAATGCTCATTGATTTAATTCAATTTACGTTTTGAGTTCATTACTTTGTGTTTCCTTGTCTTTATAATCAAGAAACGCGATAGCACTAAACTCATTGCGCAACCTCGTTGACGGCGTCACGACTGGTGATTTCAGACGAAACGAGGGAAATCGCTGTTCTTGAATAATTCTGAACCGAGAAACGTGGGTAGCCATCAGGCTAATTATTTTTAGTCGAGCTAATGTAGTAGGCGTGACCACCCATTATCATGCTACGGAGTCGACGCTGATTAAAACGCTCGCGCATTTTTCATGCCCGCACGTTTAAGGCGTATCTCCACTTCATTTAATCGCGCATCAGATATTAAATTTTCACCTTCTCAAACTTGAAATAATTACTGTTCTCAACTACGAGATATTTAAAGAAAAGCAAATTCAATTGCCTAGAGGATATTGTAAAAAGTCAAACATGACAAGCATTTATAGACATCTTTAAACTGTAACTTTTATTTTATTCACATTTATCTATTACTTTTATTTATTACTTTTAGAAATTATAACTTCTATGTTATATATATACTATTGAAAGATTTTCAATAATTCTTTTATTAGGTGTTGGAATTAATTCGTAGCGTTTTACAAGTGATGGGAAGTACTTTCATTAATGTATTTTTTAATGCTCATGTGAAATAAATAACATTCTTTCATTAAAAAACGCTACGAATTAATTCCAACACCTAATATAATAATAATTACAAAACGGATAATAAAATAAATGAATATTAGAAGAATGAATATTGAAAGTACCAAGGTTTTAAAAAAATATATAGTATTAGTCTTAAGTTTATAAGAAAAAAAGAAATATTTTCTCCAGACATGATATCGATTTGCTACTACGATTATTAGAGCCACTACATTTTTTAATTTTACTTTATAAATTATACTTTCCTTAATATTTGTATAAAAAAAATTTGAATATTTTAGATCTTATTATGAATTGATAAATTTACAAAAACATGAGGAAAGATCATAAGATTTTTTAATTTGTTATATCATGTGATTATTTGTTCAATGCGAACCGTAGTAGTACTATTAGCCTAATATTCTTTCGCTGACTCCAGAGCTGCAGGTGCTTTGTTATGATAGCGTCTATAGGATATATTCTCTTCCTCGCGAATTAGCACTTAGAGATCTGGAAATTTCGTAGGAAGATCCAAGAGCAAACGGCGTGAACGGCAGCTGCGGGAGTCCGACAAAGTCGCATTGTCTATCGAGTCGTACAAGTTGGGCACAATGGTGGCGGCTTCCTTTAATGAAAGATGCTAGTTAAGGGAGGCAGGATAGGATAATGATAGAAGTATGGAGTTCGCGAAGCAGGACAAGGCGAAAGGGAGCAGAAGGCGAGAGAGCGAAGGCGCACAAGCTCTTCTGAAGCTACCTTTCATCCGCGGATCTCGTAGAATGGCGCAAGAGAAGAGAAATGGGAATGCCAGTTCCACATTGGCTCCACTTAGCAAAGATTAATTCGCGTTGGTTTGAGAGCTTCTATACAATACGCAACTCGCCTAACAATAATAAACAAAGCTATAACTACTCTAAATCCCATTGAAGGGTCACAAGCTAACACCGTGGATGTAGGATTTCGAGATCTCTTCTGTCATCTCATTCCGTTTTGTCTTTTCTTTCTTTCTCTATCTTTTTCTCTCTTTCTTTATTTTCTCTCACGCGACTTTTGTATCTACTTCTATGTCAACCCTTCTAGAAGCGGACATATATATGTATATCTCGGGTCGTTTGTATCTAAACTCGTTGCATTGAGCTGAGTTGTATATGTGCCAAGAGACGCTCGAGATGAGTAGAATTTCCTACAACGTCCTTTACGTAGTGGTTCTCATGGTGTCGTTTGCTCTCACATTTCCAACTCGAGGTGTATGCAACACGTTGCATGAATATGCATTTATATTTCTTTCTACTATGCGCTTGGTTTCAATTATACAGTAGCGCCTTTGCGCATCAAGAGATGCATGTACCTATTCGCAAGACTTTAACTATAGGTATCTGATAAATGTATAATATAAAGTAATGAGAAATTTAGAATGTCAAGAATGTTTCCGATACTGATGAATTACAATAAATAAATTTATTTAGTTTAAAAAATCCATACGACCCATAAAGAATGAATGCTTTATAAATTTACAGTTTTTGTTTTCACCAACATTTAACCGTAGAGATACGTCCTAAATTTTATTAATTGCATTGAAATGAGATTCGACAACTGAGTGAGATTTCCTGAGTGTGACTTGGATTGACTTATGTAAAAAATACAAAGGATGATGCTCGATTTTGGAACTGCGCTATGCATAGTTTTAATGTATGCACAGTAAATTTTATATAGATCAATAAATGGAAAATTATTAGATATTAAATTTTTTTCATCTGAAAAATCTGTTTTTATCTCGTTTTATATGATACCGATTAAATGCCGTTGATGAATGATTGAAAATCTATCAGCTTTCAGAATAAATTTTTCTTTTATTCAATCTTTTTTTATATATTTAATATATTTATATATTTAATATAATTAATTAATATTAATTATAACAGAGATAAAAGGTAAATAAATTAATCAATAAAAAAATATAACAGGAAAATTAAATATATAAAAAAAGATTATTATTAATATTAATGTTAATATTAAGTTCCTTCTTGCCTTGATTGACTTTTCCTCAAAAGCACAACGTGTAAAATCCGTTCGCTTCTTTATGCGCTACTGGCGTGGTTAGATTTTTATAACGTGCGCGAAGCGTTTTTAAAAGGCTTCATGACGTTGACCATCGTACATGCTCACCATATCACAGGTGAAAAAAGATATCGTATATACGGGGGCACGCTATTCTTGATAGTGTTAGTTCTAGAAAACACGCGCGTTTGATGTACGTACATACATAAATATGCGCGTGAGCGGATGTGTGAGTATGTTGACGGAGGCAGAGGGTTTGGAATACTTTCACAAAATCACGGTGGGACACCGACGCGGCGGGACGACTGGGACGGTCGTAGAGGGCAATAAATAACGTAAATTGAAAACCGCGGGAAATAAAGAGAGGAAATAAAAGCGCCACGGTTAAGTACACTTATACGTGCCCGGTATCGGCAATACACCCGCGCACACGCAGATGCGCATTTGTGTGCATCTCCCCTAGAGTATCCAAAGCTTTTGCTTTGTTTGTGTACCATGCATACTCAATCGTCTGACGGAGCATCGCCCCACAATCCCTCACCTCCTGTACCTCCTCCATCCTTTCCCCTTCACCTCCTCTCTTTTCCCTTTTCGCCAAAGCCGTGCTGCTGCTTTTCCTCCCTTCCAGCGTGCATTTTGTTTATTAATGGAAATGCGTGGAGCACAGGCAATTTGAAAGGATATTTTCTCTCTCTCTCAAAACGCGAGAGAGCTCCCGTGGGTGCTCTGCAGAATTCATATCGTCTGCGATGCCCCAACCTGCCGCGGTTTGTCTACGCGTGAGTAATGCGCGTAAAATAATGAATTTATCCATAAGCTTGAATTAATTAGAGGCAAATTTAAAACACATACGAGTTTCATAATAAATTCTCGCATATTTTGTCAAAGTGCTATGTTTGAAGAAACAAGAATCACGAACTAGAAAAAAAAAGATGTCAAATTCCGTGATAACTGTCTTTATTTATTTTATCTCCAATTATTGAAAACGTTTGACGTTTTAAACATTTAGTTTTAGTCCCAGACATAAATATACCTAAAATATAAATAAAAATAAATCTTGCATAATTTTCGCTGATTAAAATGGACATCTCGCGCGACCGGTGCATCGCTTTTTCCGTGTCGGTGCTTACTACTTAACCACATTAAATGGTTTTAATGGATTACTCTTGGATTACAAAAGCGAAAAAAGAAGAAACGTGATCTTCCGGACGAGTCGGGAAGAGAACCCCGTTACCACGGAAGTGACGTAACAAAGAGAGAATAATTGAACGAGGCCACACGTCCGACACGAGGTTTTGCCTTCTCCTTGTCCGCCTTGCGGATCTTCTCCTCTCCCATGTCGCTCCTCACCATTCCCTTTCGATCCGTCGACCGACACCGAGGCTAATGGTTTAATCCTAACATGGATGTTAACCAGATTACCGGCTACAGGTCCGACATGTGCCGTGCATTCGCCGCGGTTTCTACGGAACAAATTATCCACGATTACATGGATAATAGCGGAAGGCGTTGAACGACGCGACGCGTGATGCCGCCGTCAACCCGTACCGTACGATCGTCCTCTACAATTTTCTGCATCGCCAACCTGCTTTCTAAGCTGACGTAATAACGCGATATCACTGCTTTTCAAGCTCCACGGAATTTTGCATCTTTACTGCGACAGCCCACTTCTCAACGTTTCCACCCTCACACAGTTATCGCGAGCTTATCACCCTTTCAATATAGACTGGGAATTTTGATATTACTTTAGTAATATAATGTGTGAAATTGATACAACTAATTTTATATATTATATTATTAAAATAATATCGCAAGTATATTATTATTTCCATTTAATGTGATTATGTATTGCGAAAAGTTGCAAGAAGTACACTACCGTTTATGGATTCGGGAACATTTAAGATTTTCTCACAATTTCTGAAAAATTAAATTTAAAAAAGTATTTAAAAAATTTTGGAAAAAACGTGTAAATCGAGAATATTATTAAAAAATGCAAATCGAGAATATTATAATATATTAAAAATTTCCTTTCTTTTTTCTTTTTTTAATAAACTTTAATTTTGAAATTAAACATTTTGTGTAAAAATAAGTTTTTATACAAGAAATTCGGTGTTATTGCGAAAAATTATTATACCAATTTAAAAGAAAAACTTTGTTAAAGCTTAGAAAATTCACTTTAAAATACTTTTTTATTAATTTTTGTTTGATGATGTTTCAACATGCTACAGCGCTACAGAGTAAAACAAAAATATCGGAAAAATATTAATTTTCAATTTTATATTTTAATTTAGGAATAAAATATCGTAGAAATTAAACGACAAATTTATAGCTCTATCTGTTTTTTAAAATATATTTTTGTAAACTCCTCTACGATGTTTTTCACTGAGATATTTAACTTTTCGCAATACAAGAAATTGCAAGCGTCGCCAAATTTATGAACTGCAGTGTAAATCCGATTCACATTTAAAAGTGAATGTAGGTAATTGTAAAATAACACGCGTTTCTCTTTAACTCTCATCTCGCGGTTCTTCGTCCTCTTTAATTTTCCCTTTTTTTTTATTACAACCGCAATGAGGAGAGAGAAAGAGAGAGAGAGAGAGAGGGGGGGGGAGGAGGAGAGATCCTTCTGGTAATGCCACTGGCCAGGTCTTTTCGATATTATATTGCCCTAAATTATGCCGTCATAAAAACGTGATGAAGCGACCATAATCGCGGGAGCCTGATAAATAACTCGAAAAAGCAAGAGAACCGGAAATAACGGATAATGAACTGGACAACATATTTGTTATTCACGGAATAGTTCACGCGGCATATCCTAGAACCTCGATACTTTAGCTGCGCATACCGTTAAGGGACATTTTAGAATTCTAAGATATGGATTTGTAGTCGAGATATCTACATTTTTAATATTAACTATATAATTTTATTTCGAATTTTTATATTTTCATAAAAGTAAAGTTTTCTGTTCTTGATGAGAGTACTATATCTCACAATATATGAAAATACTGATTTTTAAAGAATAATTTTTACGTGAAGGACTTTTTGTGTTTCTAATAAGATATAAAAGATGTGCTCCATTAACAGTCCCTTAATTCGGGTGAACTTGTTAATGTCAAACGCTATTGTCGTCAATTAAATGACTTGACCAAAAAATAAAAGAAAAATACTTATATTACATATAAATTAAAATTAAAAAAAAAAGACTTCTACATACATCTGATATTTTTATTAATTATATTTATTTATAAATTTGATACTTTTAAAGGCAGTACGATTTAGGCGAAAATTTTTGCATTTTATAAAAGAACTTATATCAAATTAATTTGTTATTGATAAAAAATTAAACATGTAAAGGCTTAAAACATCAAACTATACATATTTTCCAATATTCATTTGCGTACAAATCAAATGGAAAATATAATAAAAAATATCTTAAGTGATACGCATTCAGCAACTCTCGCCTAAATAGTTACGTGTATAATTGATATTATTTTATGTAAATCGTAACAGTAGACATTTTTATTTTTTAAATGAAAAGTTTGTATTAATTTCTTGCACTTTTTTAACGCAGATGATGAAACATGGCTGGGACAACTACGTACGGTACGCATGGGGGAAAAACGAATTAAGACCAATCTCGAAGAGAGGTCACAGTGCCAGTATCTTCGGGGCTTCAAATATGGGCGCGACTATCGTCGATGGACTTGATACTCTTTATATCATGGGTCTCCACGATGAATTCAAGCAAGGACGCGACTGGATTGCCGAGAATCTGGACTTCGACATCGTGAGTACCACTTTCAATTATGTTTTTATATTTGCATATTTCTCAATGACGTGTTTCAGTGATATACTTACGCTGAAATAATCACCGAATCTTAGCAAATTATATTATATATCTTTTAAAAGTGACATACAAAAATAGTGAAAAGTTAAATCTTTAGCAAATTAGAAATAGTTAATTTTTTTACACAGTCCAATCAAATAAATCTCATAAACCAGCGTTTCTATGAGTAAAAACATATTAAAATGAAAATCATATTAACCCTTATGTTACCACCCAAAAAATGCCACACTAATGACCACCCGGGGTATCCAGATAGTGCGGCTGCCTAAATCTTATACCTGCAGAGGATTATAAAGGTTACTGTATACGAATTTATTATTGTACTTTGCTCGAAATATCTCTATGAAATATTAATAAATCAATATTCATCCAATACATAAATTTATTTTCAAGTTTACGACAGTTTTACCTCAAAATTTCTGCATGGGTACCCGGGTACCCCGGGTGGTAACATAAGGGTTAAAATAAAAACTGAAAAAGACTGATTGACAAAAAGATTGATTGTTTTTTAAAAGTCAAAAGAATAATATTCTGTTTTATTTTAATATATCGATAGATTGAAATAAATATATTTTTATAAGTTCATAATACGGGGTACTTAGTATATTAAATAATTTATAACACATATTATTTTTAATAAATTATCTGTCTTATCTAAGTGCTCATTTAATCATCTCGTAGAATTGGTTGACGTTTGTCACGAGAGAATTTAACTATGCTAAACATATATCTGTCTCTGTGCTAAATTTCTTCTTTTTATTGTTAGAAATAGTTTTCTATTATGAAGTTAAATTAATTTAATGTCTTTTTTCTCAAAAGTAATGCAAAAATTCAAATAATGAACATGATATTATATCATTCTCATTATAATATTTTACACGATGTAAAAAATAATTCTAAGAATACAAAAATTTTGAGTTGTTTTAAATTTGCAAGCACAAATGTTTTTTCTGCGTCTACTTCTTTGAAGAATTTCTGCAGTTTTTCCTTTCATGACTGCAAAAGTACAGTGATGTCTATCTAAGTGAAGGTATCACGATGAAAGTTCGACATTCGCCGACACGCGTCGAAACCAATTTCGTCCTGAGTCAACTTACCTAACGCAGCTATGTCATCGTCTCCTTTTTCGCAAACCCCAACGGAAGCGAACTTTTGATATAGGCTCGCGTCTGCATACACTATTCCTCCTCCATACCATCTTTCCTTTACTTTTGCGTTATACAACATTCCGGAAATGTGTTTGCTCGGAGAAGGTCCCGTTCTGACGAGATGTCGAAGACACCCTTCGATTTTCTCTTGGCGCGCGACCTATTTAGATAAAATCTAATAAAGAAATAGAATAACATTATCTCATAGATATTCTTAGGTGGAAATTTAATTATAAAATTATCTCTTTCTACACTGAGAAAAAAATGTTGATTCAATTAAATTCTATATTATTGGCTGTCACTAACATAAGTGTTTAATTCATGTATATTTTTATTGACATAAAGGCCTTGATTATTAAAATAAATTTATGCCTTTGTGTCAATATACAAAAAATATATATGAATTAATTACTTATATTAGTGACAGTCCGTAATATAGACTTTAATTGAATCAACAGCATTTTTTTCTCAGTGTACATCTCAAAATAGATTTCAAAATTAAAATAAGTTTTTTTCAAATGAAGTATCCATAATTATACAATTTTTTTATTGTGAGATATAAGAGTAAATAGCCTAAAAAGGTAAAGTAAAACTGCACATTAAGGATGATTTCAATGATCTTCGCATATGTTGTCAAAATCATCATCCTGAGTAATAATCATGAAGTTTTAGTCGTCGCATATTGTTTATTATAAAGTTATTAACAATGAAACTTAATTATCTTAATTATCTAAAGATAAAGATGTATTTAACTCTATTTGAATTTTTACATAGCATAAATAGCACATTATGCGCATATTTGCGTATATAAAGAAATACGTGAGTGGAGGAGAGACTTCAATATAATAGAGGTGTAGTATATTTTATCATATACATATACTCCATACATGTACTCCTACCCGAAAAAATCTAACTCGAATCAAATTCAGTGAAGTGGACCTTGCTTGGGAAATTGGAAATCTATGTGCAATTGTACAATTACAATCTCGTTTCGCACTGTAAGCAGAAGGCAATATGAAGTGGACTTTCTAAATCCTTGTACGATTCTACATGGATTTCCAACAGACAAAGCAAGATCCATTCTACAAAATTTTGTTTTAGTTACATTTATTTCGTGGAAGTGTAGCTCTACTTCTTCTCCGCCAACTATTTCTTTAAATATGTAATTATGCACATAATGTGGTATTTATATAAAATTCGTAATGGGTTAAATTTAAGATAGATTAAACACATCTTTATATTGTCAACTTTATTTGTTAATAATTTTTTAATAAGTAACGAATGATAAAATTATTTGATTATCAGAGAAATAATTTTGACAACATATGTCAAGATTATTCAAATCAGTGAAGTCATCTCTAATGTAGTTTTACCGCAGATAATATTGAAAAGAAAGGAGAACGAAAAAACAGACAGAAAAGTATAGAAACATTTAACTTTGTTAAATTAATTTCTATATATAAATTATAAATTTGACATAATCTTTTGAAAATCACAAATATTCACTTTGTCACTGCGTGGATATGTCATCGTGACCTTGAAAAACGAGAATCTTATCTTTAGAGAACAGGACCACTGAAATATCTCAAATCCTTGACTGGATTCAATATTTTCTCGATAAAATATTACAACGGATCATTTTGTAGAGCACAAATTGTCAGTTTAAAGTTCCTACATAAAATATTTCATTGCCATATCAAATATTTTCTTTGTGTGACGAATGATAAAGTGGAAAGAATTACTTAACAATATCTTTTCCAAATATTTTTGTAAATTAAAGTTTGTGGACGGAAATCTACCTTTGGGTTTTGTTAAACTTTTGAGTATTATAAATAAATTATTGGCTATCCAAACAAAGTTATCGAATTAAATTCGATAAAGGAACATAAGAGCCAATTTGCAGAATGTACGTGCAAATGTATTAAACAATTTCTTCGAATTAGCTCTTATGCTTCTTTATCGAATTTAATTTGACTTTTGAGTATTATAAAACTTATCTAAAAAATAGTATAATATTATAATTTATTTACATTCAATAATGAATATAACTAAAATAGAAATCAGATTTTCATTTTGCATTCTTTTTACATTACGCAGTAAACACATATTAAATATAGTTGCATATTTTGACAAAAAAAATTATTAAGAAATATTAAATATTAATATTAATATTAATATTAAGAAATAATACAATAAATAATCAATTATATTGATTAATAAATTATATTATATAAATAATTTTTAAAGTAAAATATAAAACTTGTCAGTAGATATATTTATTTTATTAAACATTCTTGCTATCAGAATACAAATCGATAATGATTTTGAAGATATGTTACCTTTAAGGTAGTTCTGATAAACAGCACATTTAAGCGCTTAATTAACTTATAATCGTTATATAAATCGATGCCTGTGGTATTTCTCTGTCGGTGCATACGGGAAGAATAAACTTAAACGTTTTCACATGGCAGTTTCGTAAGTACCGAGCCAAGAAACTTAGCACGGTTTATCCAAAGTTAGTAACAGCCTCCTACACCCTCCGACTCCTCAAACTCTTCTCTCGCAATGTTCCGTCGGATTTCTAAGTGGATAACTTGCTGTATTAGCTGCTTTTGGCTTGCGGTAACCAGCGTGTCAACCATGTTAGAAGTTATGCCTATTGTTTTGCAGATGTTTCTGAAATTCTTTCGTCTCTCATATCATTTTAGCTACAAGGAATGCAAAGTTACATCAATGTACATTAGACACAATTCTATACAGTTCTTATTCTTTCATAATTTGCTTACTATTTATCTATTTATTTATTACACATACATGCATACATAAAAAGACAATTTATGTTATAAATTTTTGCTCATTTATAATTTTAAGACTTTTTACAATAATACTTTTTACTTTTTTAAGTCTTAGAAATATTACAATAAAATAAAATTATTAAGTTATATTTATTAAGTTATAATTATTAAGTTATATTTATACACGTTAGATAGGCAATTGAAAATACGCATAAACATAAATTTTATTTAAATATTAATATTTTATTACGTAAACAGAATTATCCCAAAATTGTCGTTACGATCGGCATCTGAAATTGAAAAGAATGACTTAAATATCTTATATTTAATAAGAATGATAAAGAATAAAATTAAAAGGCGGCTTGACAACGATTCATTTCAGTTATTCGCGTTTGGTCAGCGAGATAAATTTCAATGGTCGATATGAGTGAGATGACCAAAGGAAGACCGTGCAATATATATACCTGCAATGAGATTTATATAAGAATGAAAACAGCGCGGCGAGTGCAAGGGTTTTGCAGCTAGGTGGGAAGCGAGATCATGAACGGGTTATATGGACTTGTCTGCGATTCGGACGAGCGATAAATTCGGTAAGGAAGCTGCATCCGAAGGGGCCTAACCGCTCCAAGTATAAAACGATGAGTCGCATCGCGTATTATGCGTTGAAGATGCAGGTACGAAGAGGAGAATACAAGGTACTGGCCGTAACATCCAGTATCTGACACCGCCATTTCACGTTAATATATACGCACAGCCATACAAGATTAAAGAAAAGAACAATGAAATATATATATTTTATATACGAAAGTGATGTTTATATTGCTATCAATTTAAAATGCTACATTCACTATTACAAGATTACTAAAAGCAATATTACGTAACAAAGGATAATAGCAAAAAATTTCCACATATAATCTTTATGCACAATTATTGAAATTTTGTATTAATTTATTAACAGGAAATATGCACATGATGTTATTGATGCAATAGATTAAATTTTTAGCATAATATTGATGTTAAATAAATATTAGAACAGATTTATATAACTTACATTTGCACTTGCGTTAATATATAAACACATTTATTTTCAGTATAAGCACGATGATATGAAAATATTTTTAGCTGTAGATCTGTTTACTTGTATATCTGCAGCTCTAAGTTGCATATTTTTTAATTTTGTCAAGTTGAAATCAGAGTAATCGTAAAAAAAAGAATATGCAATTTTATTTCGCAGTTTCTACAAAAAACAAAAAAGTATTTAATAAACAGAAAGACAAAGGGCTACGAGTCAAAAAAGTATTTAACTAAAAGTCGCTTGTTAGCAACAGTCATGCAATAAAATTTTTCTTTTAAAACTCAGAATTGAATATAATAATGAACGTATATTAAACGTATTTTTATAAATCGCGTTGGTGACATTAAGCTGCAAGGACCTTCCATTTATTTAGAAGCCTGTTTGACCGGTTCTAAGCTGACTTGTTATAATAGTATAGCAAACTTAAAAAGGAGAAAATGTAAAAGAGAGTATTAAAATTTTAAAAACGCTACAGTTTGTACTTATTTCTGTTACATAGTCTTACAGTTATGTTTGTTTGTCTACTTTGACAAATACCTCATGAGCAATTTATATAAAATTTGATATAGAAGTTTATTTTTTATCTCTTATATATATATATATATATATATATATTACTTATATAATATATTTCTATATTTTTCTTTTAAACATTATATTTTCTTGATATTATTAGTCTAAAAATATAGACAAAAATGCATTATGATGCTTAATCCGAATTCTTGGTTAAATAATAACAGTTAAATGATAACAGTTTCTCGAGTATATTGTTAACATCTCTATCTGAAAAAATATACACACATTAAAATATTACTTAAATAGAAAGATAGGTACAAATAATAATTAATTAAATTATTGATTTGATATTGATTTCAATAAGCTCATTCTATTAGTAATTCCTTTCGCTCTTTTAGAAATTTATTTCTCAACTTTTGCTACTTTTGTTACAATCGTTAAAATTTATTCCAGTTTAACTGGTTTTATCGCTACATCGTCATGATCAAATAGTCTGTGAATGTGACAGAATCTTATTTATCGCTGTCTACTAAAAATTTCGTAATCCGATGACAATTTGAAGATGACTAAGTTCGCATTAAAAACTAAATACCGTTTATTGATACTTCTGTGAAGTTAGAATCTCATTTTTAAAAAAGTGAATTTAAATTTAGAGTGTTAACTTCACAAAACGTAAAACGAAAAATCACGATATCTTTCCATTGTTAGCGTTTGGAGTGTTAATAATTTTTTTCTATTAAAATATTAATTTTTTAGCAGTAGCATCATCTTATTGTAAAAAAGTTTTTTATTTTAATTTTTTTATTTTGAAAAAAAATTTGTCGATATCCGAATTTGTTAATGTATTAATGAATTAACGCATAACCTTTTGGCGAAAAGCACTGTATTTTAGTGTGTTTAATGCTATATTGCTTCCTCAATTATTAAATTTAATTAAACTGTATGGCTCCTGGACTTTTTGATATATTCTTATACCTTTATAAAAAATAAATGTATAACCCCAAGTAGGACGCTTGCAAAGGACTAAAAAAGCGATTATATGCGCTTTTTTAGCGCTTTGTTAACATTTTGTAAGCGTTGTTTGTTATTTGGGATACTAATCACTAGAGGATTAATACAATATTATTTATAATGATATTCAAAAGAATATCAAGAAATATACATATGAAATGTGTGTGTGTGTGTGTGTGTGTGTGTGCGTGTGTGTGTGTGTGTGTACATAATTAAGTACATATGCACCAGCAATGTTTTGTCGTTGTCATATAAAATAAATGTACCAGTTAAAGGATATGATCCCATTATTGGATAAAGCGATAAAAATTTTAAATATAAATTTTAAATATAAATTTTAATTATTAAACTTTTAACGATGTGCGACTCTAAATTAATTTGTTTTATTAAATTTTGAAGACAACGAATTTATTTAAACATTTAGTTATACATATTATTAAAAGCTTTATATTTAAAATTTTTGATATTTTGTCTAGTAATTGTGAGCCATGTCTACTGACTGGTACATTCGCCTTAATACGTAATGTTTTATTTTGTACACATTTTTCGTACTTACGCTTTGATATGATACGCCGTAAGTCGATTTAAAAATCAATTTAGAAATTTTCTTGTATGCTTTTGTTGACGTCGATCAATGCTAATTTAGTCGTTTGGAAAAATGAATTCGTCTGTCAGCTATGCACAACCTCCGTTATTCGTCGACATTAAGTAAGCTGCGCTTGGTAGGTATGCAGCGTAGCTCTCGAAGGGCGGAACGAAAGGAAGGCTGCACGTTGAGATATGCGAGATACACGTATTGCACAATTATGCCAGACCGCCTCGTCTAACAGCGCTATGCTCCAGCTATAGCACACAACCAAGAGACTCATACATCGTAAAATGAGTCGATCTCCATTACGCCTTATGCGCATCCCATTATGTGCGCAACACTTCGTGATGTTTTGAATAGATGTTCCAAAAAGTCATTAAATTGAGATACCTGTAAATATCAATTGTTAGAATTAAGCCTTGAGTAAGATTTTTTTACATAGAAATTGTTATTTTGATACATTAAGTATAAATTAATTTCATAAAATGTTTTATAAAATGTTATATCTATTGTCATGAACGAATGTCAAATTTTATAGACATATTTAATATAATATTATCTAAAATTTCAAAAATATATGTATTTTTAAAATCAGTATGATAATTGTGTTATTAATGAAAAGTTGTTTCAACGCGATTTGATTTGATTTACTTTGATTTGGATTTAAATAAATTAAGAAACAAAATTTCATTTGATCGATGTAGCTTAAAAAAGTCTTTATTTGCATCTCTAATAAAATGCTTAATGTACTAACCTAAAAATGAGTAGATTAAATTTTTTGAAATGAAATATTATGTGTAACCTAAAATTACTGTTATTTTCGAAACAAAAGCTTCCTATATTGTATTATACTTACGAAATAAGTATTAATCTTTTTTAAAAATATAGGTAATTTTTAATAACTTATAACAAAATAAATAAAAACTATCAAAAAAATTCATATTAAAAAAAATACAATATTTTAACTTGATCATAATGTTATAACATTTTCTCTGCTGTATACTCTGCTGTATTTTATTACAGTTGGATATTACAGTTGATTATTACAGTAGGATATTACAGTTGAGAATTTAATGAGAAGATCAGAGCATTCGTAAAAAGCTTTAAAAAAAACATAGTCTTTATTATGAGTTTTACTCATATTTTTTCTAATTGTACTCTTCGCGATATCTATAATAATAATTATTAAATAAGCGGAATTAAAATTCATAATATATGTAATCATATGTCTATATAATTTTAAATGACCTAAAATATCTATTTAACATTATATAATGTATCCTAGTTAAGAAAATAAGTGCTAATAAGTTTCTTAATGATTTTTTTAAGGTTATAGAATAATCTCAGCAGAGAGAAATATAAGAATTACATTTTTATACATTTTTTTAGAATGATACAATATTTACAGATATCACGAAGAAAATATATTTTAACAGCAAAAATAATTTGTTAGGTACGCATAATCTATAATTTGTTATATACGTAAACGTATTAGGATTTATCTCATAATATATATTAGATTATACAGATTAGACTAAACTTACAGATTACCCAATTTGGATAACAAGATAATATAAACACGTTTATTCGATGATATATTAATCAATATATTTCTCTTTTTGGGGAAATGTAAGGGGAAAGTAATAAATATTCTATTCTATGTATTTTATTAATCAATATGTTAATCAACATTTATCTATTAGAATCAAATGAACGT